TACTTCCATAAATCGCTGAAACGCCTGTCAATTGAGACACCATTTCCCGAAGAGTTTCAATTGGCGAGTGAATCGTTTAATCTCTGCAAACGTCTCACACATATCAATGTTATGGCCAACGGTTCCAGTTTTGCCGAAGACTTTACACTCGATATCGACCAACACTTACCAAATATTCAAAGCTTGCAAATATGGGGACAGGAGGACATGGAGTGTATGGCACAGGCTATAGAAGTAACGGATGATGTGCTCAACTCATTGGCAAAACTCTGCAAAATACGAGTCATTCGTTTCATAGATTGCATCAAAAGGTTCACTCCGGAGGCCATTCGCAATGTCACCACTAATTGTCCCAAAATTGCCAAAATGTACGTAAATGAAGTGAATTATGTGTAATTAGTTATTACCGATAATTTGTATACTTATGTCAGAAATACTGCACACATTTTATGATACATTATATTTATTGGGTTTATTATATTGATGTCAATACAATCAATACAATCAATTGTTTTATACTAAACTACATACCGGTAATCATTCAAATAAATGTTACTTTCATAACAATTGCATAAACAGTGCCTCATTTCCACCAAAAACTGATGGAAAAACTAGTGGACAGGGATTTGACGAAATGCCAGCACTTTGTGGGCATAAACAGGAGTTCCCCCTCTCGGAGGACACACTCGTAGTAGTCGTCCAGTCCTTCAAACGCCGGAAACCTCTCGGAGTCCACACATTCCAAGTCAACGGCACTTGTGTTACACAACAGCCGGCAATCGTTGGGATATATGGCCTCTCGGGGCGTATCACTCGAGTAGATCCGCACATACTTGTGGCCAAACACCTGCGCCAACAGATTGTCTTTGGGGTCGAAGTGTAGCGGAGATACCGTTCCTTTGGGTCCGAACCACGCGTTGATATCCACGTCCACCTCCTCGTCCTCCCTGTCCTCATCAGCTCTCACACAACAATAGTCGGGAACCGATATGTCGGCCATTAGTTCCACAATTTGGTCAAACAGGTTGTGTTGAGCCAAATAGCCAGTCCTATTAGCACCGGTAGTATCGCACCGGGAGTTTGGCGCCAAATACTGTCCAATAAACTCGTTGACAGTAATCAGTCGTTGACTCCATTCCTCGTCAGTATATTTGCTGCCAATCTCTATGGGAACCGTTCGATAGCCACAGACACTGCGGATGTAGTCGACTGTCCACTTGTGGTCACCACTGAGTGCCGGCCATTCAGTCATACAATCCGTGATAATCACCGGTACTTTTGGCCGCAAATACTGGTCTCGAAATGTCTGGAAATCCATGTCTCGCACACGAGTTATGCGATTCTTCAGCCGATTCCTAAAGTACGGGATAATTGTCTCGAAATGGCAGTCATTATCGTTGCTTATCATCGACGGTATCGTGACTTCTTTGGCACCGGTTTTGCACTCACTTTCGTCTAACTCTTTGCCGTCAAAACACTTATCACTCGACTCACTATCAAATGAGTGACGTTTCAGGCGTTTATGTCTTGTG